ATCCCTGCCACCATGGCAGATGAAATGTCTGGAGTGAGCCATGCGTGTAACTGGACATTTTTTTACTATTTCATTTAAAAAGGGATAAAGAAACAGGGAAATTAATTCTATTTAATCCAATATATCCAAAATATAATTTCAATAAGTAACAATATGAAGACTCCAGATGACATATTTTATGTCCCCTTCTTCACACTAATGCTGAAATTCAGCATGATCTGAAAGGGCAGAACCTTTTTTTGTGACATCTCATTTTGGATTAGTCATATTTTCAGTGCCTGATAGCCATGTGGGTTCATGACTCCATGTAGCACAGCATAACTTTAGATAGACAACTTTATGTGCTGGTACTTTTCACTGAATGACTGTGGTCACAAAGTGGCTCTTTGTACCAATAGGACAGGAGGTAGAAAGCTTAGCTCACCTCAGCTTTTCACTTGGTGACCTAGAGAGACAGTCCCACCTGTCCTTTTACCTGTGCTGGCCTGGAAACACTGCTGAGACAGGATGCTTCCAGAAGGGATCTAGGCTCCTGAGCATGGTGTGATAGAAGCCCGCTCCTTGGCAAGGGAAAGGGCTAACAGAAGGAAGGGCACACACAGGTCCTGTCTGTCCCTCCAGGCTGCAGGGCTCCCTGCCTGTACTGGGCTGGAAGAGGCCAGAGTTATGCAAATACCTAGGGCCCTGTGCTGGGCTGCCACAGTACTCACAATGAGTAAAGAACGTTCAAGTAAACAGAACACAAATATCCACAAGTCTTGTCTCAGGGTCACTGTAAGGCCAGAGGGTCTGCAGAGAATGCAGGTGGGGTGTGGGGAGAATGGTATGAGAATGTCAACCACCATTGGAGGCCCCAACACTGCTACAAGGCTGCTGCCACCCCAATCAGCTACTAGGGGGTGATTGTGATGATAGGGACATGCTCAGGTGGAGATGAGAAAGCCTTCAAGCCTAGACATGGCACCTGGGAGGTTGGCCATGCGGTGGGGGCTGGGAGCGGTGTGACCACAGCTGAGGAGGCAGAGATCAGATTGCCCATGGCCTGGGACTCACAGGTATCTTCCTCTCAGGGGAGGTGAGAACAACAGTCCTTCCTTTTAGAGTCTCCAAAGTCCTAAAGGTCATAAGATCACCATTACATGGAACTGCATCCTGCATGTTCATTTCTGTGCACAATGGTTCTTTTGCTTAGAGCCGAGGACTTTGGAGCCAAGTGCACTAGGTGCCAGGCTATGGGTTATGGTGAACACTGGCTCCAGGATCACCCCTTCATTGGCTTTCTTCTTCTTTTGGTCTCATCTCCCACTCTCCAGTGGGTTTCCTGGGATTGCCTCCTGCATAGATGGTTTGCACTTGAATCATGGTCCTGCGGGCTCTGCTTCTGGAGGAACCCAATCTAAGACAGGTTAATACATATATGTAATCAGCACTGATTATGCTGTGTATACCTAGGAGCAATTGTGGTCAAGGCCTATGGCTCAGATGCCTGAAAGTCTCACCTTTGGCATTCAGGATTACTTTTGGTCCTGTGAGCGGTCTTTTTCATTAAAGGCACAGACTCTACATTCATCTAGTTGAGAACTTAGGAGCAAGTTCAGGCGGAGGTGCATTTTCTGTGTCTGGCCCTGACTATCCTTACCAGGGTCATAGTCCTTCTGAGTCAGTCCCAAAGGCCAACTATTACGGGAACCCCTCTGTTGCTTCCTGGGTTCCTGCTCTGTATACTGCTCCTATCACAGCTGCTGTAGTGGCCTTCCCAAAACACAGGTCAGCCAGTGCATGGCATTCTGTGGGGTCCAGTCCCAGCTCCACTCTGTGCCAGCTGTGACAGAGTGGGCCAGCATTTCTCTGTGAGAGTCAGTTTCTTCATCTGGTGGAACCCTACCCCCAGCTACCCAGTGTCTCTGAGAACGGCGAGGAGTAGTTACAGGCTCTGGAGTCAGTTTTGTCCCATCCCAGGTGTGTTAGTTGCTCAGGCTGCCAATGCAAAGCTTATATGTGGCCATCCTCTTGTGTCTTCATGTGGTCTTTCTTCTGTGCATGTTTCCTTCTCAGTCTTCTCATAAGGACACCAGTCATATTGGATTAGGACCCATTTTAACTTCATCACATTTTTAAAGGCCCTATCTCCAAATGTAGTCACATTCTGAGGTATGAATTGAGGAATGGCATAGCTCAGCCCCTAACAGTAGCTATGTGACCTTGGGCAAGGTGGTAACCTCTCTGTACCTCAGTGTCTTGCTGTAAAACAGGTATAATGACAAGGTTATTGTGAATATTAGACTACAAAGTTGAGGTGTCAAACATTTTTGCTTGCCTAGTTCCTAAATCATTTAAAAAGCTGCACTCTTGAATGTGTTTTGTTGACATCTAAACTTTTTCATCATAAATGTAAAATATTGCAAAAGTTGTAATTTTCAGAGCATCACAAATATTGCCATCTTAAAATGAAATGGTTAAATCTTTCTTTTACATCTAAGTGTCATGAGCTTAGTAACTACCTATGTTGATTTTAAAAGATTCCATAAACAAGCTTTAGTTGTTAGAAATTTCATATTGTTCCTTTTTCTCCTTGAGCTTTTATATTCAAATCACTTATCCAACAAAATTTTATCCTATGTTAGTACAGTTTTTTTGTTTTGAAAGTCCTTTATTGATCACCCTGTTAATTCTCTGTGAAATAATGTGTACAAAATTTAAATTAAATTTTTTATTTTCTTATTTCATAAGTCTTTAGGTTTAAAATTTTTTTTGGATTAAGTCATCAATATTGTACAATTAGTAATATTTGGAAAATGGGTATAAAATTAATCAAAACCACATAAATATAAAATTTAGATAAATAATTAATAACCATATGAAATAAAATTTTATTAGAAATGTATTTTATTAAAATGGATTTTTATTTTACTTCATATACCCTTGTATAAATTTGATTAGTGATAGACTTCATCCTCACTTTTATTCCTATTTTTTCTAGTAGATGTTAGCTTTGAAACACCTTATCCAATATAAAAAGAGGCAGGGATGGATGAAGTTTTCTTATGCCACTCAGTACTTTAAACTGCTTCCAGTTATGAGCCAAAAGTCACAGAGTGATTTATTGTGGAAAATGATTTTTAATACTCTTACCAGCTGACACCTGGGTTAGGTTATGTTAAATCCCTGTTAAAAGCAAAATATTAGAAACCTCCTCCTCATGAAAAGTTTAGTGACCCAGTCATGTTATTCACCTTCTCAACACTGGCACCAATATTTCAAACCATCTCTTTTTTGGTGCCTACTGGTTTTTGTCCCCAGTACAGGTCTCCATATTATTGCTACAAGTCAGGGTATGTGAAGGCTATGCCTGAATTTTCTGAAGTTAAAAAGGGTGATGTGACAGGGGAGGGAGGAAAGGAATAGAGCCTGACCTCAGCTATGTTTCAGAAGAAGAATTCTTAGTAAAGAATACCATGGAAGGTGAAAATCTAGAAATAGATTTCCTTAAAACTGCCCTCTCTAAGAGTGCCTAAGGCCTGTAAGCCCCAGGATATGCAAAGCACTGATCTATATAATAAGCTTAGAATAGTGCCAGGAATTTAGGAAGTGCTCAACAAATATTAATTATGACTTTATTACTGTTGTACCTATAAACTCTCTGATACATAGTACTGGAATGGAATACTGTAAGTGAAATGTAGAGAGAGTTTAGGTACTAAGAGGTGGTTGGGCCAGATAAACTTCAAAAAAAGCTCCCTTTAAAGCTGAGATTATCTCATCCTGGTCTGGAACCTGAACTGGTCACCTGCTTGACAGATCACTCCAAATGTGTAGCTTGAAACATTCTATTTGCTCACAATTTTGCAAGTCAGCTATTTGGGCTGGGCTCAGCTGAGCATTTCTGGACTCAGCTGGAGCCACTCACTCATGCAGCTGCAGTCCAATGGTCAATAAGCTGGGGCCCATTTTGGGTCCTTAGCTGAGATGACTTGCAGCTGTTCCATGTGGTCTTATCTTCCAGTAGGCTAGCCAGGCTTGTGGTAGCAGAAGAATTCCTTACAAGAAGGGACAGAGAGAGGGAAGAAGAAGAGGAGGCGGAGGAAGGGGGGTGTTGGGAGTAGGGAGTGGAGGAAAAGGCAGGGCAGTGTTGGCGAGGAGAAGGGAAGGGGGAGAGAGAAAGAGTGCACACTTGTGGGCAAACCTCAGGACACAGGCACCTTTTATGTCTCTGCTTGGCTAATGTTTCATCGGCCACAGAATGCCATATGGCCAAGCCCAGAGTCAGTGTTATACGTGGATGTGGGTAGGTACAGGGAGATGTGATGACACAATGTATCACACAACTCTAGGGCCCTGTGGCTGCTTCAGTTCTACTTCTGTCTGAGGTGAACTCAACTGTGAGCTTAGATTGGGCACGTGTTAGGATAACTGCCTAGGTATTATTTTTCAACTGCAAGTAGAATCTTGTTTTTCTTAAGGAGACCTACTGTGGAGGGTATGTTGCCCTAAGACTGTTTTTCCAAGGGCATCTGTTAGTCCTGGAAGAGCATTGATCAGAGAATGGAAACCCATTTTAGAGAGAAGAGAGTCGAAGTGGAAACAGGTGATCCCAAGAAGGCTTTTTCAACATTAAGCCTGAATTCATAAGTTGCATGATTGTTACTCCTGGATCCTTCAAGTTAGAAGCCAACTCAACCTAGAAAAACAAACAAACAAACAAACAAACAAAAACAAAAACACACACACAGCCAAAAAACAACGAGTATTTTGGGTAATGTAACCAGGGAGTCTGGGGTGTATGGCTTCATACCTGGCTTGATGCAGGTGTGGAACAGTATCAAGTCCCTATGGTGTCCATGCTCTGGCTCTGCTGTCCTCATCCAAAGAGAAGTATGAAGCCCTGAGGGGTGGCTTAAACAAACATCTGGTCAACACCTGAGCACCTATGTCTCCTACTGGAGCATCTATGTCTAAAGTAGCATTTATTTACTATCTTTTATTTCTTTTTCCTTTCACAGCAAGACATTATTTGGTGAAATGCCCTCAGAACAGGTAGGAATATTTTTCCTCTTTCAAAAGAAACAATTTGGTATTTTACTTTCTTTTGATGTTACCAAGATATTGGTTACATTTGTATCTTTACTTAAAGGTCTGCACATTAGTCCACAAATTGACCTAAAAATGTGTGCTACTCTTGCATGCATTTTCATATATCCAGACTCCATGCTCTGGCTATCATCCCTAGAGGATCCAGAAAACATGTGGTTAATGCTGGCCCAACATGCATGCTGGAGGGGGCTTGGCACCTGCTCCTGGAGGACGGTTTCCCTTTTCAGAAAGGGGCTGGCAACTAGACTGAACCACTTTGATGCCTCGTGTCCACAATCACTCGCAATGTTTTCCCAGCAATGCTTGCTTATCCTATGCCCCTCTGCAAAATGCAGCCATTAGTAATATATGTGCTAAGATGCTAGCCTTTTAGCTCATAGGATATACCTCACAGGTAAAATAATAGTTATAGTAAATATTGAAAACTCATTGTGTTTAAAAATGTGAGACTTTTGATCCAGACAAGACAATTTAGGTCAGTTTGCTCTTCCCTGCTAAACACAACTATAAACCTTGGAAATAGTATAAGAGACAATGAAAGGAGGACTCTGAAAATTGGTTAACAGAAAATTATGAATGACAAAGACAAAGAAAAAAATCTCAAAAACAACCAAGGAGAAGCAATGTATTACCTACAGGGAAACACAAATTTGAATGACAGTGAATTTTTTATCTGAATTTATGGAGGGCAGAAAGAAATCGAACCACTTTTTCAAATAGAAAAAAAAGCCTTGCCAACCACAAATTCTTTATCCAGAAAAACTATCCTTTAAGAAAAAGTGGAAATAAAGACATTCTCAGATGAAGGGAAGATAAAAGAATTTGTCACTATCAGGTCTATTTTAAAATAAATTATTGAAATAACAGAGAAAACCCTGGCGCATTGGGGAGGAAAAAGGAATAATAGGACATAAATACGGGTACATAAGTAGACTATTCTTTTCCTCATGGGTTTAAAAAATATATATGATGATTGAAACAGAAATTATAGAATTATCTCATACTCAAGAAGAACATTGTTATTTAAAAGTGGGGAAGGTAAAGTAACCTACATAGGAGGTTTACACATTTCACTCAAAGTGATGAAATGTTAGTCACCAGTGGACTGTGTAAGGCACATACATATAAGGTGACTTGAATATCCCACTTCTTCAGAAAGATATGTCTGAAAGAGAACATCATAGTAGCTGTTCCTCCTCATGTGATCCCACATTGAACCCCAAGACAAGGAAAGCCCATCCCAGACACCAGGCATCAGAGAGTGAGCCCCCTTCTTTCTCTGCCTTTCTGATGCTTTGTCCCCACCCCTGGCCTTACATTGCCTTCTTTTCCTGGGATGCTCATTTTTCCTATGAGCTGGAGTTAATGGCACCCATATGTTGCTTGGTCATGGTTGGGGAAAGCATAATTCTGGCTGAGGCAACATGCATTTGCAATAAATGGACATCATCCAAAGGATAAAAAAAGATATATTGTGAAACAGTAATCATAAGAGAGGTTATAGCTAAATTATATAATTTAAGAAAAAATATTATAAGAGACAAAGAAGGAGATTTCATAATTATAAAGGGTCTAAATGTCAGGCAAATATAACAATTAAAAGTCTGTACGGACCTAACAGCAGAACCTCAGACACATGAAGCAAAAACAAAAAAACTGAAAGATAAAATAGGTGATTCTAGAATAATAGCTGATTTCAATGCTTCACTCTCAATTAATTGATAGAATACCTAGACAGAAAATCAATAAGGGGACAGGAGAAAAAGCAATTTAACCTGACACATAAGAATACTCCACCCAATGACTATATGAGACATTCTTTTCAAGTGTACTTGGAATATTCTCCAGGATAGACCATATGCTAGGCCATATGCTAAAAAAAAACTTAAGAATTTTATGTATGTAAGAAATCATATGAAGTCTGTTCTTTGACAACAGCAGAATTAAGTAGAAATTAATGACAGATAGGAGCCTGGGGAATTCCTACATGTTTTGAAATTTTGTACAACATACTTCTAAATAATACCTGGCTCAAAAAGAAATCACAAGAGAAATTAGAAAATATTTTTAATTAAATGAAAATAAACCGCAACATACCAAAACTTGAAGAATGCAGTTAAAGCAGTGCTTACAGAGGAAAAAAAATGTGGCTTTAAATGCCTATTTTAGACAAGAAGAAAGGTTTCAAATCAATAACCTAAGCTTTCACCATAAGAAAATAGAAAAAGAAGTGCAAGTGAAATCCAGAGTAAGCAACATAAAGGATATAATGAAGATCAGAATAGAAATCAATGATGTGGAAAACACACACACACATACAGAAATATAGTGAAGCCAAAAGTTGGTTCTTTGAAAAGATCAACCGAACTTATAAACCTTAAGTTAGACTGTCCATGAAAATGAAAAGAGAGAGAGAGAGAGAGAGAGAAATGCAATTACCAAAATTGGGAAGGAAAATGGAAACAGACTACAGAAATTAGAAGGATTATAAGGAAATGACAAAATTCCTAGAAAGACACAAATTACCAAAACTGATTTAAAAAGAGCTATAATTTGAGTAAATCTGTAGTAAGTCAAGAAATTGAATTGTTAGCTGAAAACTTTCCAACCAAGAGAAGCCCAAGTCCACATTGCGTTACTGGCGAAGTATATCAAGCATTAAAGAAAAGAAAACAGTAATGCCAACCCTTCACAAACTCTTTAAAAAAATTGAGAAAACATAGTCTATCTAGCAAATGGTGCTGGGACAAAATATATAAAGAACTCTTTACAACTCAATAATAAGAAGACAAATACAATTTAAAATGAACAAAATATTTGAATAGATATTTTCCAAAAGAATATAAACAAATTACTAACAAGTTCATGAAAATATGTTCAATATCATTAGTCATTAGAGAAATGCAAATAAAATGCCACTGTGTTGACACTACACACCCATTACGATGGCTATAATAGAAAAGACAGGCGTTGTCAAGTCTGAGCAAGAATATGGAAAACCAGGAGCTCTGTAGATTGCTGGTAGGAATGTTAAATGATGTAACCACTTTGGAAAACAGTTTGTTGGTTTCTCAAAACATTAAAGATAAACTTATCATATGACCTAGCAATTCCACTCAGAAATCTATCCCAGAGAAATGAGAGCATATGTCCGTATAAAGACATATGTGCAGTTGTTCATAGCTGCTTTATTCGTAATAACCAGAAGCTGGAAAATGCCTAAATATATTCATCAACTGATGTATAGATGAACAAAATTTAGTATATTCAGTCAATGACATACTATTTGATAATAAAAAGGAACAAACTGCTGATATGCTACACCCTGTGTTGACCTCAAAAACATGAAGCTAAGTGAAAGAATCCAGATGCAAAAAAGTACGTATTGTATGATTCTGTTTGTTTGAAATGTCCATAAAAGGTACATATGTAGAGACAGAAAGCAGATTAGTACTTGGTTAGGGCTGAAGGTGGAAATAGCGATTAACTATAAATGAGCAAGAGAGAACTTTTTGAGGATGACAGAAACATTCTAAAACTGTATCGTAGTGATGATTGCACAATTTTATAAATACACTAAAAAATTGAATACACTAATTCAAATTATTGAATTGTACACTTATGATCAGTCAATTTTATAGTAAATAAGTTATGCCCCAATAGAGCTACTTGTTTGCTTTTTAGAGCATATGCCCCCATAAGGCATTTCAGATGGGGGAAAGGTGATGGCTGTATGGTCAGAGGCTGTGAAGAGTCAGCCTGCACTGTTTCTCAGGATTTGCTTGCTGTGATCTAGTGTCTGGCCTCTCTACAGTAGCATGCAGTGCCAGGTGTTTGGGCCTGCTTCCCTCCCCTCCCAGGCTTTCCCTTCACTTGCCCTACTCTGAGCTGGTGCTGACCAAAGCTAGATGTACAGGAGATGGTGTCATCCCAGCCTGGAAGGCATTGGAGTTGGGTCTCCCCTAGTCCTGGGATGCCTAGCAGAGGTCAGATATGGCTGCGGTTCTGCTGAAGTGCTGCCCTCTCTGTGAGCTAGTGCTGTCAACAAGACTGGCTGGATTTCTGAATTGAGCTTTCCCTGTGGGCATGTCTTCTGTTGGGCCAGCCTATAGATCTGGCTCTGGAAAGCCTGCCTTTACTCCATGGTACCCAGAACCCTGAAGGGGCCAGGCCTGCTCCCACATACCTGGAAATGGTCAACTTGCTGACTTTCATTTATCTTTCAGAATAGAATCTCATGCCAGTTTGATTAGATGCAGCCCAGATTTCTTGTCATGGTACCTCACTAGTGAACACTAGACTATCCTTAGCCTTTGAACTATTTTTTATTTGTGTGCTCTGTCTCTGTAGCCAAGGCAGATCCTCCCATCCCTGTCCTGCCAGGGGGCTCCCAGATCCTGGCTCATTCATCTGTGCTACATCAGCGGGCAGCTGGGCCCCTGGAGTCCCAATGCATGGTGAAGAAAATTGTCCTCCTCTGTCCTCAGACCACTTCCTCCTGAGGAAGAATGGGCAAAGAGCACAGGACTAGGACAAGGTGCCAGGAATGGAAACAGGCAGGGGAGGGACCCTCATGAAGAAGTCACATGCTAGCACTGAGACTGCAGTCACTGAATGGGGATGTTGTCATATACCTCGGCAGGGCCTGAAGACTCTGGAGTATCCAATGACTTCTTGAGAGAAGTTCAAACAGAAGAAAACAAGTCTCATCTTGAACTTGTGTCATCCAATGAAGATGGAAATAACCCTGACCTTCAGGGATAGTATATTGATTTTTCTTCCCATGGCAAAGTGCTATTGTGGAGCAAAAAGCTGGACTCAAGCAGGCCTCTCAGGGTCCTGCAAGCTTTGAGACAGCCCTCCCGAGAGAAAACAGCTTTGAGAGCAGCTCAACTGCATGACATTTCTCCAAATGAAATGCCGCCAATTACATATAGGTGTGA